AAATTTCTTTTCCCCGAGATATTTAATCAATTCATCTATATTGATATATAGATTATATATATTGATATAAAACATGGTCTTTGATTGCTTGTGTTAGAAAGGGAAGAGAGCCACCCAGCATACTTTGCAGTCTAAAAATACCAGCTGTATTGGGAAGATGAGCTGGCAGTGAGTCTCAGAACACATACCCTTTCACTCTTCACTTTTTTTGGTGACCCTGGGTATGGAAAAAGAAGTGTTTTTATTCTTCTCACATGAAGCATATGCAATGTATATGTAAAAAATTTATAAAGAAAAGTCTGTCCTTTCTCCTGCCCAGAGTCAGTGTTCTCTTCTGTTTCCAAGAAAACACTGAATAAAAGACAGCCTTGCCTCTAGAGGTCCAAATTAGCCATGGTTTGAATTGAATTTGAATTTGCACAGTTTGCACACTGCCTTGTGCCATACATTTGTTTCTGAGTGCATAGAGAGGGGATTTTTTTCTCTGCAGTGACCTCAGGCACATGGAGATGCGCTGCTTGGTTTGCACAGATCGCCACCCTGCACTTGGTCAACTTTTACACACACCAGTTCACACTCCAATGTACAATTCCAGCTGGGAGCTTGTGGCTTGCAGCTTAAGGAAGCAATGAGCTCCTGAACAATAAAGAATGGGTTTGCTTGGATTTTTTTTTCCCCAAAATGAAAGGCAGCTTTAACATTTAACCTGGTCAGATCAATGTCCTAGTTCCCAGGCACTTAGCACCATGGCACTAATTGTGCCAGAGTGAGCATCAGTCCATACCTGCCAGGAATCTTCTCTTTCCTGTCTTTAGGTAAACACACAAGCAAGAAAGGTAGGTCAGAGGAATGGTGGAGCCCCCTTTGTGGTTGGAGAAATGGGTCTTTTACTTCCCATTACAAGGCGCTTTGCCTTGTAAGCAAAAAGCACAAAGACAAAACTCATAAGAAGGGATAAGGCAGTAGAAGCAGGTGGGCCATGCTTAGCTTCAAATATCTTATTTTCCTCTGATTCCCCTTCTACTTATTTCAGTGCTGTGATCTTCAAACTGCCATTTCATTTTACGCAGGGAGGTACCCAAGGCGGCAGCGAGTCTGTCTGACTGCAGCAAAGCGACATTAATAAGTTGACTCACTTTGGTGTAAAGAGTTCTTGTGGATGGGTGGACAGAGGACAGATCAGGGTAATAGACAACTGATCAGCCCTGCTTCTCCCAACCACTTTGTGCTTTTCTCTCAAGTATAAATAAATATCAAAGAGAGCTAATCACAGAACTGCAGAAGAGTCAGGCAGGCCTAGAGCCCTGATGGCAGGCAGAGTGGAAACCACGAGCATTCCATGGTGGATTAGGCAATCACAATACCCTGAGCCATTTTGCTCAGAAAGATCATCTAGTCTATCTTTCCTATTAACTAATCTAATTTTTTTGTGATTAATTGCAGCTTACAAAAAGAAAACTGTAAAAATTCAAAAAACCCTCTGCGTGTTCTCCAGCTGCAAGGTAGCTGTCTCGCCACTGCCCACCAAACCACGCTGCTAAGTACAGAACAGGCAGGGAAGAGTTGTGGCCTCCCTAAAGGCCAAGAAAGGGACCAGATCTCAGTCTGGACTATCTCATAGGCCGCTTTTGTGCATCCTTAGGATGGGAATGTGGAATGGAGCCCATTGCAGATACAAGCAGTGCTATCTGTACAGTGCTCCCACCCTCTGCCAGCTTGGGGGAATGAAAAACAGCACCAGGAATCAAATCCAGACCTCCCACATGGTGCCGCAGAGAGACTGATTCCCAGTGCCAACCCAGGCAATGTGCGTCCAGTGTGGGAATCCAAGCACAGCTCCACAGCTCTGGCACTGGAAGCAAGCAGTGCCAGAAGCACCTGCCCTCTTCCAAACCAAGCACAAGAAACAGCCCCAGCAAGATGAAATATAAATTAATTCCCTCACCTTTTCCCCCTGTAGGTTAGGGTTTGGGGATCGGGTGCTTGTTCATAGGTTGATAGACTTTTATACAGGGACAGTGAAAATCCAAAATGAGGATATAACAAGTCATAGCATCAGTTATTAGATGGGGATAGCATCTTGGGATTTTTGCCCCTGTTCTGTATTTTCCACCTCTCTGTGATCTCTTGCATGATGTTCAGGCATGTACAGATGCAACGTAGAACTCAGCCAACGATCTTGGTGTCCTGAGACCCTTGCCCAGAACAGGACGGCTGGGTGCTGCTGCTGACACCTTCCTCTGCTCAGCAATGGTCTCACTGGCACAGGGATCACAACAGGCACCAGCACTGACACAGGCTGAACTGGCTGCTGCAGCAGGTGTGCCAACAGATCAGAGCCCAGGGACCCTGGGAAGAGGGGCTGTGGCTTTCCCCATGCTTCCTTCCTTTTCTCTGCTGAGATCTGCATTGTTACCTGTGTAACAACGACTGAGCCAAGAGGAATTTCAAGTAAATCTCACCATCCCTGGGCTGTTTCCCGACTCTGCCCTCAACCTGTTCCATTGTGTCCCAATCCTCTGAGACCTCCACCCAGGGCTGGGAGACAAGCTGGTGTGGTGAGGGACCAGAGAACAGCAAGATAAACGGAGGCGACAAGAGCTGCTGCTTTGGGGCGGCGTGGGTGAGCAGCTGAAAATTGCCCACACCCACAGCTCCCCTCCTGCAGAGCACCCTGCACCCACAAACAAACTGCTGCTCTGCAGAGCTGCAGCTGGGGCACACCAGGTCATGGCAGGGTGCTGTATCCCTGCTCTGCTCCCCACGGCCCTGGGGTGTGGGAGAGCACAAGCATGCTATGAGCTGGGAGTGCTGCACACCCGGCCCTTCCTGCCTGCTCAAGAGGCAGCGCAGGAGGGATCAGCTGCCTCCATGCAGTGCTTGCAAAGCCCGAGGTAGCTGTGCTTGATGGTGGGGAAAGCAATGGTAGCGGACATCTCCTTTTGCCCATACTGGAGCTTGCAGAGAAGATGAGGAAAAGTCACAGGTAAAAGCAGCAGCCAGAGAGATTGGGCAAAAGGCAGAAAAGAGTGAGGATGTGGGCCGGTGCTCCTGGCTCCCACAGCCTGGCCCTGGT